TCAGTCCTGCTCCCTCTGCTTGGCCTGGGCACTGTTTTGAGCCTCAGTTTCCCGCCTTTACATTGGGGGCAAGGACCCGCAGCACAGGTTTGCTGTGAGGGTTAAAGTGCCAAAGGAGAGGATGTCCCCTCCCTCCCCCACCCCCGTGCTCCTGGTGGCCAGGACCAGTTTCCACCTGCGCAGAGGGTTCAGCCAGCCTCTCCCCTCTCCACCCCCCTCTTCCCCAGTGTGGGGCGGCGCCCAGTGGCAGGCGGAGAGGTCGCAGGGTGAGAAAGCAGGGTGCTCCTTCCCGGGACCCTCCCCTCTGCCCCCCGCCCCGCCCCAGCAGGTGGGAGCTGGTGAGGTCCTGCACCGTGGCCCTGGAGCCTGCGCGCTGTGGCCGAGCTGAGGAGGCCGCGAAAATTGTATTCCAGCGCCGGGTCCTTCCGGGTTAATGAGCTGACAGCGTGGTGAAAGCCGACCATTTGTAATGTGTCTCGACCCGCCGCCGAGCCCCGAAGAGGTTAATGCGGTGACGGAGGCCGGCACCTGCCCCTCGCCGGCCTCCTGGGCCGTGGCGCACAGCCCTGGCCTCCCCGCCCCCTCGCCGGCCCGCGCCCCGGCTGCGCAGCCGACTCCTAATCAATTAGCCCATTAACGAGCCCTCGGAGGAGTGGAGGAGCGAGAGGGCCTGCCACCGGCCGGCTGCAGTCGCTACCGCCCGCTGCTAATGATACCGTGAGCGCTGGACTCCCAGACGCGGGCGCGGCGGGCGAGGCGGGAACTGCACCGTCATGGCGCAGTTCTGGACACGGACACGGGTGGGCACTGATCCAGAGCCTCCTGTCACCCTGAGCTGCATTTGGGGACCTAGGGCAGAGCTTCGGGGTCGGTCTTTTGCTGGATCGGTCAGAGGCGAGGCCGCAGACCCGGGAGGTGCGGTTGCCTGAGCACCTGGGGGCCTCGCCTCACCTTCGAAGCTTCTGCAAACAACTGCCGGCCCAGGCCGCTTCTGCCTCAGCCCGGCTCGGCCTAGATCCGGGAGCAGCTGACCTGGGGATTAAAGAGGCGAGAGCCAGGGCTCAGGGGCTGTGAGGAGCCAGGTTGATGGAGTGCCTGCCGTGTGCCCGGGAAGGAGTGGGGCGCTTCGGCCTCCCAGGGCTTCCTCGATGTAGGCATGGCTTCCCCCACGTTAAGAAGAGGAGACAGAGGCTCAGGAAGTTTAAGTGTCCTGTTCAAAATCGCCCAGGCCAGATGTGAAGCGACTTTGCCCAATTCTAACACCACGTCCCTGCCCTCCCCTCTCCTTCCCTGGAGCCAAGCGCTGTTTCTGCAGCAGTTCCGCCTTCTCCGGTATTTGCCAAAGAGGGGGAGGAAACAACCATAGCAAAATGGACCAGGATGGGTGTGGCCCAGTCAGCAAAGGTCTGCAGAGCTCCTACTGTGCGCTCCAGGTGCTTCTAGGACAGCTCCTACTGTGCGCTCCCTGTGCTTCTAGCAGAGCTCCTACTGTGCGCTCCAGGCGCTTCTAGGACAGCTCCTACTGTGCGCTCCAGGCGCTTCTAGGACAGCTCCTACTGTGCGCTCCAGGCGCTTCTAGGACAGCTCCTACTGTGCGCTCCAGGCGCTTCTAGGACAGCTCCTACTGTGCGCTCCAGGCGCTTCTAGGACAGCTCCTACTGTGCGCTCCAGGCGCTTCTAGGACAGCTCCTACTGTGCGCTCCAGGCGCTTCTAGGACAGCTCCTACTGTGCGCTCCAGGCGCTTCTAGGACAGCTCCTACTGTGCGCTCCAGGCGCTTCTAGGACAGCTCCTACTGTGCGCTCCAGGCGCTTCTAGGACAGCTCCTACTGTGCGCTCCAGGCGCTTCTAGGACAGCTCCTACTGTGCGCTCCAGGCGCTTCTAGGACAGCTCCTACTGTGCGCTCCAGGCGCTTCTAGGACAGCTCCTACTGTGCGCTCCAGGCGCTTCTAGGACAGCTCCTACTGTGCGCTCCAGGCGCAGCTCCTACTGTGCGCTCCAGGTGCTTCTAGGACAGCTCCTACTGTGCGCTCCAGGCGCTTCTAGGACAGCTCCTACTGTGCGCTCCAGGTGCTTCCGAGGGCATTTCCATTCCTACTTGAGGTGATCCCCGAAACAAGAGGGGAAGGGCGCTAAAGAGAAGTTCATTTAACGTCTGAGGCAACGAATCTCTGGTTGGGACTGGATTGTCCAAGTTCTCGCAGCGCCAACTGCCGACAGCGGTGCGGGGACTGGAACCAGGATCCCTTGAAACTAGATCTAGGGCTCCGCCCCTGCCAGGCCCCACCGACCTTGAGGATCCTGCAGTGCCCGGGGGGCCTGGGACAGGGGTGGGGTCTGCTCCTGGCTCCCCAGCTGAGCTCCCGGGAGCAGCCTCAGCTCCAAGGCGCATGCTCCGCCCCCTCCCCCCTCTCGCCCGAGGGGCGCCTGGGTCTGGGGGCTCCCAGCCCTGCTCGCTCGCGGAAGAGGAGAGGTGGGAGGCTGGGGGAGGGTCGTGGAACAGCCCGTGCTGGCTCTTCAGGGAGTGCGGACCCGTCGCC